AGCTTGTTCCTCCCTGTTTCAGATACTACGGGATAAGGTAGTTCCAGATGGGCGTGTGTCGAGTTAACGTTCGTGGATATGAGAGGGACGATCGAGATATCAGTGTTAGAGATATAATTTAATGGTTTTATTATATTAAGTAATAAAGAAAACGGAAACAAAACAACAAATAATGAAAGCAAGATAGACAACACAGATAGCAATAATTCCAATAAACTCAAACGACACAATTAATTCTTTTGTGCAACACAAAATGATCACTCTTTTCACCACACTCATTCAACGCTCTTTTACAACTCGCACGATTCTCTCCTTTTTTCAAAAAGAAAAGCGCTCAACGCCAACGCTGTACTTCTCACATCACTTCATTCATACTTTTCGTTCATGCATCTGCAGCAAACAGGCCATCTATTAAAAATAAAAGTAACTAAAAATATAACTATACATTCCAATAATTTCGATACTACATTAGGTTGCAATAAATGGAACCTCTGATTTGTGCTCCAATGAATCCTGAAGAAAAGGCAGATTCAAACGCGTCATTCTGTGTCGAGTTTTCATTCAGGCCATTCAATGTTTTGACTAAAGATTAGAATGGGCTTTGACAGAAGAATGATCATTACATCATCGATCCATAAGTAATTAGCTTACATAGAATAATGATCACATCGTGTACCACCGGTGCTACATGCGGCTTGAATGGAAAGTTTAACGTGTGTCCAAAAGTTCTCACACTTCAAATGATATATCTATGGAGATGGAAAAGATTTAGGAAAGATCGATGCAACAAGATTCAACTAAATAATTGGAAGACTGTTCCGAGTGCAGTGTCTTACACTTCTCGGCTTTATTTATTAAAGGAGGCATATCTAAACTTGGACGTTGTTATCAGGAATATAAGAAACCTTTCGTGTGTCTTAAATTTCGACGAAATTGAAAAACACGCTGCACCATACGCAACTTAACACGGACAATTAGAGAAAAGATATCGTCCTACATTCAGAAAGTATCGTTCGTTACGATCGCCGTGAAATATCGAGGCTCCCCGTTAACTTTCTACCGGAAACAGCGTCTCAGCTGTGCACGCGAAAAAAGAATTTCGAGCCCAGATCGATAATTTAGAAGATTCGGAAGCTTATCCCGATTCCGCTTTGAATCCAACGTCGCAAGCTTAAAACCTCATTCTACCAAAGAATTATTATCTGCGGTTAAATAACCAGGGAGTAGGAACCGTAAGGGTAATCCACGCAAAGGAAACAAAACGCGCGAAACAACTCCGTTTCACCCCGTTCAGCCCCTCGTTCCAGCCAAGTTTCTTTTTTTCTCGAGCTCGTGCGCGCGTTATATCGCTCGATTAAGCGCTCATCTGGTTACTCTACTTTTCTCCCTCCCTCCTCATTCTTTCTCTCTCTCTCTCTCTCTCTCTCTCTCTCGCAACGACGTCGAGGGGAAGAAAGAAAGAAAAAAACGAAAAGAGAGGAAAATCGGCAAGGCGCGCGCTCGCGAATTAACGTGGTACGAGAAGGGGCGAGCGTGTACGAGCAATCAAAGACACATCGAGAGTGAGGAGGAGAGGGGATCCGGTTGTGCGCGAAAATGGCCAGCCGGAATTTATACGAACTCGTCCGGAGGAATTAGACGGGGAAACGATTCCGTGGAACTTTATCGGCCAACCGATCAGCGGAATTATCGAAAATCGATGGAAATCCTCTTTCGCCGACTGTTCGTGTCTCCTCTTGGCTTCGCTCGATTGAGTCCTCCGGGTCTTCTTTTTCCTCCGCGTTTCTCCGTCTCTCTTTCTCTCTCGTTCTCCCTTCCCTCTCTCCTTGGTCCCGCGGACCGCGTGTTTGCAAACGTGTGCACACAGAGAGAACCGGGCTTTGACTGAGTCGACTGTGAGAAGAAAGAGGAAGCCAAAGGGCGCGAAAAGAAAACACCGCGGATTGATGGATCGACGAATAGATAGATGGCCGTTTGTTTTAATCGGCTTCGTGCGAAAATCGTTGCTTCGTCCAAGTACACGTTGTAACGTCGTTAGTAAGAGGATCGTTAGTTAGCAATCCTAATGATGGATTCTTGCAGAGTACGTAAAAAAGTAACGTCTTTTGTAACAAATAACGTCTTTTGTAACTACGACAAGAAGTCACTTACTTGAATGAGATAATTTATTACAGCTAGTGTCTGACTGTGTTTCTACTTGTCTACACGGGAGCTTTTATGACATACTCAAACGATCGTAATAAATGTCACGTGAAAAATCAGGGATACCATTAAGTGGATTTCTCTAGTCGGCCAGAAAAAAAGGTAAAGAATTTTTAACGTGCAATATACGCGGAACGTACACTACGTTTCGTAGATATTTTCTCGCAATTTTTTCACCACGTTATAAAGAACGCTTTCCGCGATCGGAAAATCCTCGATTCGATTTGACAAGCGAGCGTATCGCTTATAGATGCGAAATTAAAAAAAAAGAAAAAAGGCGGGGAGGGAAGCGACAGAAAAGGAAGCGCGAGTGTGAAAAGAAAACATCACGGACAGACAAGCCCCGATGCTGCACGATATTCGTTTTAATCGATCTAAACCCACAGAAAATCGAGGCTGCCAGCGTGGTGTCGATATGGCTCGTCGCTGTGGTCCAAAGT